GTCCCACCATTTTCTACACTGACTCGTCAGATCGTAATATCAGCAACACGACATCTAGCACTTCTGAAAAACTTGTGAACTGGGAAGAGAACAATATATTTGATAAAAAATGAAGTTATGAAAGGTGACCACGCCTGCATGACCAAGCCATAACATTTCGGTTCATTGCTATAGCTGACCTTCTCTGTGTGTTAAATGTTGGATATGAATTCTCTCATTTATCTTATGTTCGGCTTCGAGGATCATGTAATTAGAACTAATACTACTATCACCCAACGAAGAAACTGGCAGGGAATTGTGGTAAACTAGACCAGTCAAGGACGAAGATGTCAAGCGATTCGTTGGGGTTCAATGTCGGCGAAGCATGTGGTTATGGTACATTAAAGAACTTTTGAATAGACCAGCCTCAGTAAATCAGCTGGACTTTGAATTAGTACACATGAACTTTTAATGTAGATGTCGCCGCAATGATAAGCGAAGAAATCAGTGTGGCTATTAGACAAATGAGGAGTGGGAAAGCCATAGGATGTGACCACATGCCGATTGATGCACTGGATTCGGACAAAAAAAGTTACTGCAAACGTGCTCCACGTTCTATTCAGGTAGATTCACGAGGAAGAACAGCTGCCGTCAGACTAGAAAGAAGAATATCTCACCAAGATACCAAAGATAGGAGATCTCAATAAGCGTAAGAACTACGACGGCATTACACTAATATCGATACTAGGAAAAGTCTTCAACAGCGTGTTGCGGAACCGGATGAAAGATTCAGTAGACTAGCTAATTCGAGACCGATAGGCTGAATTCCGTAAGGATCGGTCATGCACAGACCATGTCACAACAATACGGACCATTGTTGATCAGTCAATTAGATGGAATTCTTCACTATACACCGAATTCCGTGACTATGGGAGGTTTAACACTCCGAACAGGAGAACACTATGGGACAAACTTCAACATAAAGACATACCTCAGAAGATCCACAGGATCAAATGGAATTCTTGCAACAGACTACATTGCAAAGTCACTCATGGAGGACAGCTCACATGTGCATTCCACGTGAAATCTACGTCAGACAAGACTACCTAAAATTTCTTTTCGTATTGTGACTGTTGACTGGATTATAAAGACCTTCATATCTGAGGAGAAGCAAGGAGTACTGTGGACAGCCCGCATGTAACTAAGAAGTTTAAACTTCTCAGATGACCTAACTCTTTCATCCTATACATTAAAGCAAATTCAGATCACGATAGTCAATGTTGCAGCAGCCTCCGAAGAATTTTGTCTTGATATACACATGGGAAAAAGCAAGATCCCAAAATACAGCAAGGGAAACACCAGCTCAATCACACTTGATAGGGAAGCTCTGGACGAGGCGAAAATATTTACATACCAGGACAGCATCGTCAATAGACAAGGAGGGTCTGATACAGATGTATAGGCATCGATTAGCAAAATCAAGGAAAGTATGCCAATAGTTGAAAGCTTGGGACTCATAACACCTGTCAACCAATAGCAAAGTCAGAATCTTCAATACGGCCGTCAAGACAGTTCTGATATACGGAGCTAAAACTTGGAGAACTACTACAGCCACCATCAAAAAATTATTTGTAGACAATTTTCTACGCAATATACATTATGTCGTTTGGATAGACAGCATCAGCAACAGCATTTTATGGGAGAGAACAAACCAACTTCCATCGGAAGAGGAAATTAGGGAGAGATACTGCAGATGGATAGTATGTACATTGAGGAAACAATCAAACTGAATTACGAGGAAAGATCTAACTTGGAATTCGGAAAGAAAATTGGCACTAACAACTTTGAAGCACACTTCTGTCAATGATTTTAAGTTCATTACAAATAATCTTACTCAGTATGCTAAATAATAACACTTAAAATTGCTGAGTTTTTGCTCTAGTAATCACGCATAAACTCAAATTCAAGTCAGATAGAACTCCATATATCACATCTGTAGAATCTGATTGCACGTGTTGTAAAAACACACGGGAAATTCCTCTGTGTGTGTATTCCCGGTTGGTCAATCCTTTGTTCCTTTTTCACATATCTAATTTCTTTTGTTGTTGACTGTATCTGCGAATATTTTATTTCTCTTTTGATTTGTTAGCAACGATTATTGCCATATTTTCTACAGCTTCAAAAGTTTGGTTAACGTTTGGACGTTATTATGACTTTGACTACAGTTTCACTCCGGTCTTACTTAAAGGTTTCTCAATCCTGATGGTCGCCATAATAAGTGACTGTTCTTCTGATTGATCTATTTAATTTAATTTAATGATGGGTCACATATTTGATTTTCTAGTTATCAGCATAGTTTATTATCCTGTAAGCTTGACTGCTAATTTGCAGCCATTTCATTGGTTGCACTTTTGTTTTTTGAACATGCTGTTCCTGGGTTGTCAGGAATCCTTTTACTGATTTCCCGATGAGTATTGCATACTCTCTGTGTTAATGGCTTATTGTTGAATTGTTAATTTTACAAGTTTGTTGTTATAACAGTGACTATACCTGCTAGAAAAATAATTGTTCTGGTATGTCCAGCTTGTTTTGTTTATTACACTTACCCACTCAGTAGAACTCATTTACATTGCTTTGTACAGCGTGTCGAGTTGCTATTCGAAATTCTTCAATCAACTTGTGAGCGCTACTTTATTCTCTGTAATCAAGGTCTCCTTGCATTATTGGAAACTTTGGATTTCATAACACCTGAAAAGCTATTCTATCAAAAGCGCATTACTACAGTCTTCGAGGTAACACGATGAATTATCATTAAAGGGTGAACGGTTGAAAAGTTCAAGCTTTAATTTACAAGTCCGTTTTAACAAGAATGCGTCTTCACATTATATGGTCCCAGATCCTCTCATTCGACAGACTACATGACCATATACACATTCGTAGATTATCATCTTTCATTTAAGCCCGCATTTGAGTACACGTCTTAACAGGGGAAGATGCTTCTGTACTCATTAGTTATATTCTCATCATGTTTTGAGATTATTATTACCACTGCTACGAGTATGAGCGTTTAATCCCTATCATTTTCGCTCACTTGTTTATATATATGAATCCATCTCTCTTGGACTTATGGTTTTACTCCGCTCCCCTTTATCCTTATTTACTAAGTTCATTGATGACGAATCAGCAGTTATGTACCCACCCGTAAGTTTGAAACAGATCCGTGAATCTGGTATTTAGAATATGCCGGAAGAACGCTAACTTCTGCGCCAGTATTGCCGGGGTAGCGAACTTTCGTCATCATATCTGTGACGTATAACAGACTGATATGTTCGCCGGCTACGGTTGTCATTAACACGTGCTGGCTTGGAAGTTTCCCGAATCGCTTTTCGTGTCGGTCGATTTTGGGTTCAAAAAATTGCAGGGTTTTCTGCGATTTCTGGAGGACTTTCTGCACTGGTTATGACACCAGCACCAGTCGTGGTTATCCGTCTTTCGTGGTATGGAGACAGATCGCCTACGTGAAGCGCTTCTTCGCGGGGTATGTGACGGTTTACGGTCAATACGAAATCTAAGATAGGGTATGAGTGTATAACATAGTTCCGTAATGTCATTCTGGGTCGTTTGAGGATTTTCTTTGACTGAAAAACCTTCACATTAAAAGATTTGGTGATTTAAAGTATGCGGTCGGCAGATGCATCCAGCTCGTCTACGGCATAGTTTTGAAACGAGAGCAGGACTGTTTACACCTGTTGAGGAAACTTAGATAAGAGGAGTTGTTTGAATAGGCCGCCATCGAAAGTTGTCTGGCCGATAATCCCTCTTATTCTTAGCAACATGTCTGTCTCAGAGCCATGTTGCAGGTCGATATCATTAAGGAGGTGATATAGCCTTTGTCGATCCATTAGATCTCATCGTTTCAGAATCGACTGTTTTGAGGTTTCGTAAGGTTCCGAAACATCACTAGTATACATACTGGGTGTGACGTACCTGTTGAGCTTGCGCTGTAGTGACTTAACTACCACGAGGAATTGTGAGCGCGGATCAGTCATGCCGTGCTCATAAAAGTCGGCTTCTGCGTAGCGGAACCAAGCTTCTGTGTTGTCTGGACAGAAGGGCATTAGTTGAAACGAAGGTGGGGACATAGTCTTTAACTTAAGTACTTTGGGTGTCTGTTCCGTTAAAGTGAAATATCAAGTACGAGAATGAAATAAGAAAACAGTATTCGAAAACTCGAAAAAATATAATATATAGAAGTTAAAATAAAGCAATGATTTATGAAATTCCAAAAGGGAACAGAAACAGTTTATGGGTTTGTGCAGCAGATCACGTTGAACTCACCAATGAAGATGCCACAGGTATTATAGTTTGGCAACACTTTATCAGTAACACCTATAATTGAATTGCGCCCACCCAGTGAAGTCAAAAGTCAGAATCGAGGAGGTTGGAAGATAGATTTGATAGATTATTAATATATCGTGAAGTGACTGATCTAAACTGGCGAGAGATCGCAGAACAAGTTGAGCACGGCGTTCCCATTCGGTGCGGATGCATGACCGAACGCCCTCAGCTAGGTGAGTTCATTAAGACTAATGTGGTCAGCATCCAATGTGGAACATTACAGAAGTATTGAAGTATTGGCGCTACGAGTTGAAACGTGACAGATTGCGAATGGTTGGCCGTGCTTCCTCAGCCACTTGTCCACCAATAAAATTAATGTTGTTGACACCGACTTCAAACACCAACAAATCTATTCGCTTAGAGGAATCCATTACAATTACCGTCGCATTTATTTGCGCTCAAGACGTTCCAGCTCGTGAATAACTAACCAGTTCACTAGGAATATTACAAACAAATGGAAAGATCTTTTATCAGACTCTACCGATTACCCGAAACTGTGGTACTACTTCAAGACAAAATTAGGGGAATTGAATGGTGCATAGAAACTCGTCATTGATATTTTTGATATTGTATGTACCTAAGTCACTTTCGAAAGGTGTTAAAGGTGTTATATAACAAACGTGGGAGCTCTTTGAGTGAAAGCTCTTTTTGTTCAATCCATAACCATCTGATCAAATGCATTTTTCGTGTCCGATGACATTTAGGGTTCCAGTTCTTTATGCGCGAAATTTAAGATCTTGCGGTACGCTGGGGGTGTTCGCCGGTTTCGGAATGGCCAGCATTGCGGGTAAACGTATTCAAAAGGAGCTAGCTGAGCTGATGAAATCAGATGAAGTTAGTTGTTTCGATTGAATTTATGTTGTTCTCTGTGTATTTTGCAAATTTCCTACTTGTATCCATGAATAATAGTGTGGGATATGTTGCTGATCTGCTAATCACACACTCGTCTTTTCTTTTTGTTTAATAAGATAAAAATCTACATCGATGAAGAATGGTATTCGTGTGCATGTATCTGACTTGTAAAACAGCAGTCGTTTGTGTCATTTGAGTGCGGGAACAAGTGATCAAGCCTGGAGGTCTTGTCCAGTATTTTCATCTAAACAAAATTCACTCGATCCATACTTAGCCTTCCCAGGGTATCTTGAAACAACCGGTAGGGTTACATAAAGGTTCATATGTTTTGTTTTGGTACGACTTAAAACTACTGTCATATTTCTTATGCTCCAACTTATGAATGTTATCCAAAGGTACAAAAATCCCGAAGTTAGAATCTTTTAACCAATGACGAAACCTCATGTAGATGTGATCGATACACAATCTAGGCGTTGTTGCTATCGCCGCGCTCTCTATCTAGTTTTCCGGCGGTGGACTACGTGTGATCGAGTCATCTATTTATTAAAACGCATGTTCCCTGTAGACCTTTCAAAGAACCACGTTCACTTACTGAACTGACACTACAGAGTGATTCACTCGTTTACCACTTGAATTATTAAGGTTTTCGAGTCTTAGACTAGCTCTCGAATATAAATGTTGTTCATGCCAGACCTTTAGGTAATAAAACCTTTCCTTGTCCGAAAGTTTGTTACTTGGTTTTGAAAAGTGATCTAGTCTAACCGATTTTATTCTAATTTAGTGAGTTCAAGTGATTAAAACCATGGTGAGACTATTTTATGGAAGAACCCAAGAACTAAAAGGTAGTGAGTCTTGAATTTTGGCGTGAAATCCACACCCGCATACATAAATAGCATCTTGGCATTCCGGCTAATGTCAGTTCGTTATAAAAACCCTTACCTTGATTGTTAACTCTGAATCCTATTTCCTATTCCTTATACCGACACAGCCTTTTTTCAACCCTAGTAAGTAGGTTGGTTGTCTCAAGGTCGGTGTCAATGGTGTCAATGAAAGGTCGTCCATAAATTATAGTCTCACTAATAACTTATTTACATAAAAGTCCAGTGGATGACTTGAAATGTTTCGAGCCTCATTCCATGACGGATATATATATATATATATATATATATAACTATGACAGGATGGAACCAAGAGTGATAATAGAGTGACCTTTTGATTTTAAGGCCACTTTTTAGCCAGTGAGGAAACAATCTAAGCCGAGAGAATTTCATTGCAGAAGTAATAAAACTTGTAACACTATTGGGATTTTAGTGCTTTATTAGTTTTTAAAGGCTTTTTGTCAGTCTCGACCTTGGAGAGACGTTACTACATAATCTCTGCTATTAGAGTTCAGATGTATTTCCTCTAACGGTTTTTTCTTAGGTCCTCATAACCATAAACAATTGTAGAAGACTCGTCTATATAACGATTAATAATCCCAATGGAGTTGTAAGACAACGAAATGGACAAGTCGTACGTGGAAGTCGCTGTTTGTCTTAACACACACTTTACAAACTTGTCTTATATTCAGTAAACCACTAATAAATTTACTTGGATAGTTCACATATAAAAAAGGGTAGAAAACCAGGACTCATTGATCTACTCATTAAATGCTATTCAAATATGAAGAATTAAAGGATTTGACGTGCTTTACACTCGTATTCACGTCATAACATCAAAAAAGCAACTATCGTACCGACTTTTAGTGCTTCGAAAACTATACAAACGTATTTCTATTGGGCTTTTATGTGACATAAGATAATACTTTTTTTTGTTATGTTTTGCACGCTAAATGGGAAGTAGTTTCCTCGATTGTTATGAAATGAAAATCATGGTAAGTTCAAGGAAAAAGCCGTATGGTGGTTCTCATGCAAACATTTCTAGAGCTCTACTACTACAGTAAATTCCAAAACCAACCCTGTTTTTAAAAGTCCATCATGATCTGTTTGTCTAGGATGTGGATGGTCGGGAAGCGTTGATTTCTATCACAATCATTATTTCTCATTACCAATTTCACCAGATCATGTAGTTAGTTCTGATAACTCTAGGTATCTTGGTAGATAACGAACGTAATTTTGATAACGGACAGTAGTGGCTGCTCTTCATTTTCATTCATTTTTACTACCTAAGTATACTTAGGATGCATTGCCATTCGAGTGTGTTAAGAATTATATATTTCAGTGTGTTCTATCAACAAATTGTATTCACTGAGGTAGATGGTTTAATTGTAGGGCTTTAACTCGTTCTGAACACCATTTTAAGTACTTCTACGTGAAGTAGTTTGGGCTAACATTTTCCAAAATTTCAATGTAAACACTTCAATTGAACTGCCTGGCTCAAAGAACACAGCGCAACTAAATGTATTCACATTGTTTGCAAATCTCAATCATTCGAGGTACATTGTAAAGAAAATCAGTTAAAACCCTACAGTTCCTAATAGGGTTGGTAAGACAAGTATACAATTGCGGATCTTTAATGGTTTCCTTCAGGGGTACAACTATAGGCTAGTGATTATCTCTTGTTCAGAGCAGAAGCGTGAAAAGTGAAGAAACTTTGAAATGTGTTAAAATAGACTCAAGTTATTACCAGTGTTATTCAGCTCGTTTCTTTTTATGTCGGCACTCTACTCTTGACTCGACAAACCGATTTTAAAGTCGAAGTCTTTATTCATATGACTTCAACTTTGAAGCCCCTCTTTATCCACTTCAATTTTGACAGCGGTACGGTAAATACATGTCTTCACTTTGTGTAACACCGATCTACATCAATATTTATCTAGTTAGTGAATCTTATTATGCTGTAAAACACGGTATTGGTACTTTTTTTCCTTTTGCTATTTTCAAATTTTAGGCAGCACAGAATCAGTTGGAAATAAAACCTTGTAATGATGATATGATGCATTTATGTGGTCTCATCAAAGGCCCACCGGATACTCCTTATACTGGCGCTGAATTCAATTTAGACATTATAATCCCTGAAAATTACCCATTTGTTCCCCCAAAGGTTAAATTTATCACAAAAATTTGGCATCCTAATATTAGTAGTGCTACTGGTGTAATTTGCCTTGATGTACTGAAAGATCAGTGGTAAGTATTTTGTCACTTATTTTCGGGTGTATGTTTCCTGACTAATCAAAAAAGTGATTATAAAGTGTAGCTTTCGGATTAATGGTTCGAAGGCAGCACAGATCTTTATATTATGACAATTGTCCCCCTATCTGTCAGTTATCACCATCAATAAATTGTATTTATTTCATGTACTTGACCACAAGTCACACTAAGTACAAGGGCTTTTAATAATATCCAGTTGTCCAAACCGAAGTAGGTGAATCACACTCTGAACCTCGAACTTACTGGCTGTGAAAGTCGAATGTCATCACCGTCTAACCATCGCTAAAAGTCATTATGATATTAAACTGGACGTTCTCAAGTTATTTATACACATATTTATTTATATTTGGACGAACGGTAACGTTATTTTTGTGTCTCTTTCAACCCGATATTCAGCTATCTAGATGTTTCTGTAATATAAACTGCAATGCACTCACGACATTTGATCTCATAGACAACATCTTCCTTTGGTAACATTTCCTTATGTTTAACTAATCTTGATCTTATGGTACCGCTGGCTCGAAAATAAAGTCTTATTATGTTCATTTAGAATTGTCTTAATTTCCTTCGGTGTTTCTGTACAGTATGAGATGACACCGATGTCCTTCCATTCTCTTGGTATACATTTTAATTTAATTTTTTCTTTCATTTTTAACAATCTTCTTTAAAAACTTTTTAGGGCTATTATTTTCCTTAAATCTAGACAATTTGGTGAGAGTATAATTTATGAACGACCTTTGAGCGACACTGAGGTAATCCTGGAAATATCCGCTTATTAACTAGGACTAAATGACGGTTATAAAGCAGTGTGAGGAATTAAAATTATGATTTACAATTGACGGTTAAAGTTAAGAATTAGATTTAGGATTTTCATCACGAACTGTATTATTATTATTTAAACACATAAATATTGGTACAAAGGGGCACCAAATATATATTCGCCGCACCAATCTCATTCGATTTGTGTGAGGGCTGTGATACTGCTCAGGTGCCCAAACTGAAGCAGGTGGTTTTCTTAGGCAGCCACACCCGAAGCCTTTGACCTAGAGGTCTGATCCACAAGGCAGTGAAGCATCGTGAGAAGATGCAGTCCCATGGTAGCTGGTGACCAACGATTGATTTTATACGCCATTTGTTCCTTCAGGACACTGGAGCCCATGTGGATGATTGGTTTAGAATCAGGGTTTTCCAACTCCCCTGGGTAGACTTTCCGTGTCCACCAACCCGGTTAAAACACCGGACATTCTCTTTTTGTCCTCTCAATTTCGTAAACAACACCCGTGCCACGATAAGGTAGTGAGTAGAACTTGTGTGGCAAAGGCTATATACGCGTGGCCATGTGAGAGCATTTGGAGAGGGAGAGTGGACTCTCTCCACTCTCAGCCGTACCAGGGCATTTGAGGGCCTCTTTCTAGACATCATCAAACTGCAAAATGTTTTCAAATCTATGAAATAAATAACACTCGAAATATTTACTATCACTCGTTTTTTTGTGAAATTGTATCCTGTAAGCGTCTGTAATCACGTTGAATTTTTAAATCATTTCGAACTGTACTACTAATTAGTAAGTAAGTGTTTATTCATCAATTTCACGGTTAGACCATAATTTATGGACGAACCAATCAGATATAAGATAACAGGTCTGGGGTTTTGGGCGCGGAATTCATTCAATCATTTGGCTAAATAAAGTTTTAGCATTATAGCTGATGTCAGTTAATGATGAAAACCCTTAAATCTAATTCTTAACTTTAACCGTCGATTGTAAATCATAATTCTAATTCCTCACACTGCTTTATAACCGTCATTTAGTCCTAGTTAATAAGTGGATATTTCCAGGGTTACCTCAGTGTCGCTCAAAGGTCGTCCATAAATTATAGTCTCATCACTTTTACATGTACATTTCCTGATTGATTCGTTCAAATAACGACGTTCGCATTTTATTTGCACGTAGTTTAGAGCGTGGTTTCAGGAGACCAGGAATAACGTTCCGTGTGCTCGAATCGTTTGCCCTAGCGGTGCGAGGTGATAAAAGGACGTGGGAAGGGTTAGTCGTGGAGATAAGAGAGTTATTAGCAGGTGTAGGAAGGATTTGAAAGTGACCAACTTGGTCTCGTGTGCAGTTACGGGTATGAGTGCTAGTATCACTTCCCGGCTGCCCACACCGTGGAAGGGTATTTCTTGGGGGACCTGAAAAAGAAGTTGGATTAGTGTTGGTCATAACGACCTGGGAGCGAGACCGCAGTGCCTTAGGGACAACTGCTTGAGGCCGGTCACGCACGGCCTTTTTGTGGTTTTTTTTTCTGTTAGCTCCGTTCTTCAAAAAACCTTACCGCCGGAGACAGAAATCCGTGGGATAAGGCGAGGTGTGCATTTTTAGTGTCGACCTTTTCTAACCCCACCCGTCCTTGTGGGAAGGAAGCATCGCTGTTATGCTGGTTGTCTGAAGGAAACACCTTACTGCTTTCACACCTCTGTACAGTCAGCAGTACGACTTCGCCTTCGGACCTTGGGTTCGCTGCTTTTAGTCTTACCGCTCTTCAACCGACCTGTCTGGCATGGTAGGACCTTGAGGAACGATTGTTCCAGCCAGTATAGCTCGATTGGTTGATCACGATAAACAAGCTCGACCACCACGTCAAGGTAGCAGCAATGGTCGGAACTTTTATTTGCACAGATATAAAGGATGTACTTGATAGTTAGTTCTTAATGGTATTTACCCATTCATTAGCTAAAATAACTTATGTCTTCCAATGGTTTATATTTCGAATGACTTTTCACTTTGTTTTGTTTCACGTTTAACATTTTGTGCACAAGTATTTCAATTTAATAGGGGGAAAAAGCACATTCTAACACTCAGTTGTGTTATCTTTTAGCAGCACAGCTCATTCTGCGGCTTATGCCAATAGTAATAAATTTTCAAAACTCTCCTCCATTATAACAGTATCCTAAAACTTGTTCTATTGGGTAGCTGTCTTGTCATCTGATATTGATTTATTTGATGTTTTACATCAATCATTAGGTCTCATGAGCAACCATCACTCATTAGTCACTTCATAATATTGCATATGCGTCCATCGATTAGCATTGTATCCATTCCTTGAACACTTCAAAAACTCCATAACTTCTTACTTCATAATAAAAAGTTATTAATGTTTTCTTGCGTAACTGTAACATCTTCCAGCCGTAATCTTTCGGATTACTGCTTATACTCTTACTGTGGTGGTCGATATTCGATATTATCCCTAACTTCGTATATTGTTCGTCTTGATAACCGTTACTCGATAACTTCCTAACGGTGTATAAATCAGAAGGCGAATACGAATGGCTGATCGCGTTTATTACTGAACCACACACAGGTATCCAATATTACAGGCACGTTGAGCAAGCATGAAAGAGCAGTACCGTAAAATAGTCGAGCGAGCGTGAAAGCCGAATGAGTGAGTAAGCGCGTACAATACGGTGTAGCGAGAGCAGGGAGCAAGCAGGCAAGCAGGATTAAGATGTATATATATATATATATATATATATATATATATATATATAAGTGGAAAAGTATGAGTCATCGGATTAATTAAGCGATTAATAATAATGTTAGCGGAATGAATACATGCGTAGGCAGTAAGCAATGCTCAAGCGTATATAATAAAAGTACAATGCTATAGATAGGTTGTTATTGTATGAATGACTGTCGATTAAATAAGTTAACAAAAGGGCTTAGCCAGATTAGGTGTAAACAAACTTAATTGTATATGAGTTGCTATACTACTACTTCTACCACTATGGGATTTGAATGGACAACTGCATCTCTGTGCTTATGTGGTATGGCAACTCGAACTGATGTACGTACGTACGAAGTTGTGATTGACTGACTGACTGACTGCATAACCGTTGGTTACCTTATGAGGGTTCTTTTAGATTACATTTTTACAAAAAAAAGTTTTCTTCATGTTGTACTTCATTCACCTATATTTTACCTTCTCTTCCCAGGGCTGCTGCTATGTCATTACGTACTATACTTCTGTCTATTCAAGCATTATTAGCTTCTCCAGAACCAGATGATCCACAAGATGCAGTTGTTGCTAATCAATACAAAAGTAGTATAGATGCTTTTAATCGAACTGCACGTCATTGGGCAGGTATTTATGCTAATGGACCTGGATGTGATCCTCATTGTGTCGACTTAGTAGATAAACTTGTTCAAATGGGTTTTGATGAGGTAAGATAATTCTTTATACTGTGTGTGTGTGTGTTATTAAGAGAATTGAATAATGAATACACAGTGTATAATCTTTTGTTGTTCTTTTATTGTTCTCTATTTAAATATCAAGTAACCTTATTATTATGTAGCCATAAGAAGCAACAATTGGCGGAAACTTAGTGCCCTGGTACGGCAGAGGGTGGGGAGAGTCAGCTTTTCCTCTCGAAATGCTCTGATATGGCCACGTGCATACAAACACTGACAGGAAAGTCCCACTCACTACCTTCTCTCAGTGTTACTGTTGTTTATGAAATTGAGAGGACAAAAAGAGAATGTCCAGTGTTTTAACTGGGTTGGTGGAAACGGAAAGTCTACCTAGGGGAGTTTTTAAACCGTGATTCCAAACCAATTGTGCACATGGGCTCTAGTATCCTGAGGAAACAAATGGTGTATGAATCAATCGTTGGTCACCGACTACCACGGAACTACGTTATGGATTAGTCCTTCAGGTGTGGCTACCTAAGAAAACCACCTGCTCTGGTTCAGGTACCAAGGCAGTATCGTAGCCCACATTCAAATCAAGTGACGTGTGCGCTTATATGTATTCGATGTCCCTTTATTATTATTATTTTATTTAAACACATAAATACTGGTACAGGGAAGCACCAGATATATATGCGCCACAAAAATCTCATTCGATTTGTGTGAGGGCTGTGGTACTGCCCAGAAGCCCAAACTGAAGCAGGTGGTTTTCTTAGGCAGCCACACCCGAAGCCTTTGACCTAGAGGTCTGATCCACAAGGCAGTGAAGCATCGTGAGGAGATGCAGCCCCATGGTATCCGGTGGCCAACGATTGATTTTATACGCCATTTGTTCCTTCAGGACCCTGGAGCCCATTTACACCATTGGTTTGGAATGAGGGTTTTCCGACTCCCCTAGGTGGACACTCCACACCCAACAACCCGGTCAAATCACCGGACATTCTCTTTTTGTCCTCTTAATTTCGTGAATAACACCCTCGACATGAGAACAGAGTAGGACTTCCCTATCAGTGGTTGTATGTACATGGTCATGTGAGAGCATTTGGAGAGGGAGAGCGGACTCTCCCCACTCTTGGTCGTACCAGGGCAGCGAATAGTCTATGTTCATTATTTAACTCTAGAACTATCGCACTGTATTTTAAGAACATCCATCAATATCCTATTGTAATTTGTATGTTTGAACCATCATTGTTTTTGTGTTTTTGTATCTTCAATAGCATGAAGCTTGTCGTGCATTATCTATGAAGAATTGGGATTTAGCAATGGCAACAGAACATTTAATAAAATGATTCTTCTTCTTCTTTTTTTATATATACACAGAAATGTATCGATAATTTCATTAGTTCTATTTATAAACTTATGATGTAACTAACGATTTGTTCATAATTAAGCGTGTATCACTTTGGTGTTTTCCACCCTATATTGCTCTCTTTCCTCCCTGGACCGTTCTTCCTTCCCCTACCCCTTTTACCACTTTCTCCTCCCTTTTCCTAATGAATTTTTCCATACTCACGTATGTATACTTTATTTCTGCCTTGTTGCTTGCCCTACCTGCGTGCCGGTTTTTTTGGATTCCTTCAATTTCCAACGTTTCATAACTTTTGTGGCTAATTTTTATCTCCTTGTCGCTGCTGTTTGTACATTTTGTACATCAAAAAAATGGTCTCGACAACAACTTAACAACAACAACAAAAACCATATTTACTATTTTCATTATTTGAAATAGTAGGTACATTGTTCATTCCAAATCTTTGTTGCTATCCATGATCTTTATATGATGCCTTCTTGTTACCATATTGTATGTATGATTACATAATGAAACCCATATCAATGTAATCACTATGACGTAATCAACTAATCTATTCTTATGCATATTATTGTTGTATAAATGATATTAGAGAAGTGAATAAATTAGGTTTTATAGAGAGTATTCATGTATTTACTTTTGAAATGTTCAATCTTGTTGAGTGTGTTATGTTACAACTTAATCTCTGTGCTAATGCTGTAGTATGATAACTTGAACTGATGTACGTAAGTATGAAGTTCTACATTGTGACTGATTGAATGTTATGTTACTGTTTGCGATCTATCATTGGTCCTTTTCTTTTCTTCTTTTCTGAAGTCCTATGTACACTGTAACTGTTCCCAAGTAACTAACATCTTGTATGCTTGACAACTGGTTTTCATTCATAATATGTTAAGTCTGTTGTCAAGTAATGTCTCTCTTGAATTACAAATGAAACAAAAAAACTTTTGTGAAGAAAACTTTCTTACTGATTATTGAGAGTTTTATAATACTTATCTATCAAATTATTCAATCGATCATAGTCTTGAGGAAATATACTATTCAACCGGAGGTATATATAGTACCAAGGTACGATGTATATGAAGGCGCCCCCAAATGCCCTGGTACGAATGAGAGTGGGGGGAATTCGCTTTCCCTCTCGAAATGCTCTCATATGGCCACGTGTATATAGCCTCTGCCAGGGAAGTCCTACTCACTGCCTTCTCACAGTGGCAGGAGTGCTGCTTACGAAATTGAGAGGACGTAAAGCGAATGTCCGGTGCTTTAACCGGATTGGTGGAGACGGAAAGTCTACCTAGGGGAGTTGAAAAATCGTGATTCTAATCCAATGGTACACATGGGATCCAGGATCCTGAGGGAACAAATGATATATGAATCAGTCGTTGGTCACCGGCTACCATGGGACTGCTTTTCTTAACGTTGTTTTATTGCATCATAGATTAGTCCTTCAAGTCGAAGGCTCTGGGGTACCGCTCCACAGGAAAACCACCTGTTTCGGTTTGAGCACTCGTGTAGTATCATAGCCCTCACACAAGTCGAATGATTTATGTGGCGCATATCTAGTACTAGTACTTCTTTTAGAACCTGAAGAGTTATGTTTCCGGCAATCTTGGAACGGGGAATTTACTTATAGTGCTTAGCTGTTTTATTAAATGTATGCAAATGAGGAATACATTATTATTGATACTCTCTTGTCTTTGTTAAACCTACTTGGGCATCATTTACAGAGCACGTTGCTTTCAAATCATATAGTTTAATGAATATAATGAGGCAATCCCTAACTTGGAACCCGGGAGGGAAGCGGAAAAGAGGAAGGCCGAAGAACACATTACGCCGAGAAATAGAAGCAGATATGAAAAGGAAGAATAGGGACTGGAACGAACTGGAAAGGATTGCCCAGGACAGAGTTGGATGCAGAATACTGGTGAGCGGCCTATGTTCCTCCACGAAGGGTAACAGGCGTAAGTAAGTAGGTAATATAACAAGTGGGAAACTAATTAGAATGCAGATAGCATAACATGATTCATTATGGGACGAAATCTTTCGTCTATTCACATTAGAGACGGAATATTCATTGTTATGTGGTAAATACTCATCGTAGCTGGAAGCTGTCACATTAGAAATAAATAAGTTTTCAATTCTTAAACTTGAATGTTCTGTGTCCTTTAGCTCAATATGAGTAGATAACTCAAAATTCGGCAAAGTTATTCTGTCTGAAATTTCGCATACTTTCAATACAGTCTGTCATCTTAATTGATGCTCGTTGTTAACTACGTTTCGCATAGAATGATTGTTCTATTCTAATTTGAAATGTATCCAAAGCACATTGAGTAGTAAACAATATCATGCTTATAATCAGAAGGGGATTTGTGGAGATTTCAGCATTTTCATAGTTGAAATCATGAGTCGATTGAAGCTAGACCACCATGGAAAACCTGGAAGCACTGGACGGCCGTTTCGTCCCATTATGGGACTCAGCAGTGCGCATCCACGATCCCGCACTCTCGAAATTCGAACCCAGGACCTACCAGTCTCGAGCCAGAGCCCTTAACCGATAGACCACTGAGTCAGCATCAAGATACATGTCCTTGAGTTCTTGTGGGAAGCAGTGACCAATGGAGTTCAACCACGTCTGTTGTGACATAACAACTCACTGAAGACAATTGGTGAATGGTCGCTCATAATTCGTGGATCAGTTGAAGTTAGACATTAACACCGTTGGATGCTGGCTCAGTAGCCTTCGGTTAAGTACTCTGGCGTGAGACTGGTAGGCGTTGGGTTCGAGTCTCGCTCGCGAGTGCGCGATCGTGGATGCGCACTGCCGAGAAGTCCCATAGTAGGACGAAACGGCCTTTGTCCAGTGCTTCGAGGTTTTCGATAGCGGCCTAACTTCAATTGGCTCATGATTTCAACTCTGAAAATATCATGCTTGTCTAGTCCTTAGTGTATATTGAATTCCGTTCAAGTTGCAGTGTAACTACCAGTTCAAATGGATCATCATCACTTGCTCTATGTTCCGATGTTAATTGATTCGAGGTAGTCGGGAAGAATCAACATCAGTATTCTAGTTCTACAACATATCATTCTCGACCCAAATATCGACGATGACGTCTCAGATTATGAAGATGGATGGCACTGATGTAAATTTCATAGAGAGTACCAGCCCCCGCAAAACTGCAGATACGCCTAGTGTGTTACTAGGTACATAGTCTCCTGACGCATTTAAAAGGGTATATCTACAACCCCCACACTACTACTACTCTATCCTTCATTTCTTCATTTTAATCAATTCATTTGTGTAGCTTGTTTGGTACCCCATTGTTTCAGGATTTGTATGTTTTTAAATCAATATATTACATAGTATCTAAATTGGTTAAGGACAGTAAGTCACCTCACTAGCACAACTCTATAATCAATGATTTCAACTTGTTGTCAAGATGTTTACATACCTATCTCTACCGATCAATCTTCATTAGGTGTTATTGATGCATATAAAGTGATTTTAAAAAATTCTACAGTAAGTTTTGCATGAAAAGACATAGTTAAACCTTGTGTGAGTGTGTGTGTGTGTGACAAAACGTTTATGTATGTGTGAATGCATACAGAAACAATCGATTAGATAAAAGAAACAAACATACCTGCTTTAATAATCATCATAACAGTAATCATTTTTAATGGTGATTAAGCTCAATCGTGTGTCAATGTTTTTGTCGACGAACTATACGTAGTCTGTTCAGTGAATAAGCGATACCGGAGGTTCTGGGTTCGAATCTTGCTGGCGGGATCGTGGATTCATACTGCTGAGTAGTCCCATAATAGGACAAACGGCTGTTCAGTGATTCCAGGTTGTTCATGGTGGTCTAACATCAATTGATTCATGATCTTAATCAAAAACCTAATAACCTTCACAATGCCATACGGATAATAGATGAATTGTTGTCATAATGAAATCAGGGATTCACTAATGTTATTTGTCTTCAAAATACTCCACATTAGTGATAATGTGTCCCATCTCCTACTTCATTGTTTCAAGCATTTCTGAAGGTCCATAGAAGTTTGGCTTTCCACCTTCTTTACTGTCGTCCTATGTTTTGTATAGTGCATAGATGATTTTCCTTGATTCCCTTATGATCTTGAAAGTGAAATAGTAATCGAAAAGCTCAAGAGACCGAACACTTTTAGTGTTTTCACCAACACTAGAGGTTAACGGTCAACTGTCTACTACTCTCTGTTCCTAACGCTGATGAATGTCTTTAATGAAAGCTAACTTTCAACTTAATAATCACTATGAATTCTATAGAATGGATATATAAAAGATCATAGTAGAATTCTATTTGGAACTCGTTGACTAGATAACCCTTCATCAAGGGTATGAATAAGAATTTTCTTTCCATGAACTCACATTCTTAATCCAATCCTACAAGCTCGTGTTTCTCTGGTAAATGAAAAAAAGTGAGAACTGATATATGAATATAAATCTATCATATAAACTTTCACTGGTCTAAATGATCCTAGTATGGAACTACTCACCAGTGCGCACCCGCGACCCCGCACGAAGGACTTGAACCCAGGATCTTCGATTCCATGAGTGAACGCCTAACCTCTATACCACTGAGTTGATATTTAACTTCAACCAATCCACGATATCGCACCATCTTCCACCATTGTTTTCAATGAGTAAATGCCTTTACGACAGACACGGTTTAACTTCACTGGTCATGGCTTCTCACTAGAACTGCAGGAAATTCATCTTGAAGCTAGTCACTAGTGAGCATATGATGATTATTATCAGAATGGGGTTTTTTGGATACTCTAGTAAGTTTCAATAGTTGAATTCATGAGTCGATTAAAGCTAGACCACCTTGGAAAACCCCATTCTTAGAATTCAACTGTTAACGGATATATTTTACTAATCAGATCAATAATTTCACTTCTACTTCAAATATCTTACTTGATTAGTGATGACAAGCAGCCTTAATTTCAGATCATAGTTGATGCCAAATTGATTGGATTGTTCCTAGCCTGAAGTCGAATCAAAACCACTTCAAAATGAAATGTATTCAGATGCTTTGGGTTTATATGAACAAATATTCATCTTTGATTATAATAAATAAACTACTAACTAATTTTAAGTAGTCAAACGTTCGCAATTAAATTTAATAAGATTAGGTCGATTAATGTACTTAACATATTACTCATCTGATCATATTTTCTAAAGGTATACAATTGTACATCTTGATAAGTGCATCCCGGCCTAGAAAAATAAGACTCCGATTAATATTGTCATTGACCTCCTTTTTACGCTGGATGATATTGATTTTTTTTTGATGGTGGACTGTGGTGCGATCTCGTGGATTGGTTGAAGTTAGGGATTAACGCGGTTGCATGCTGGCTAGCTCAGTGATCTACAAATTAAGCTTTCGTACATGAGACCGAAGGTTCTGTGTTTCAGTCCCTCATGCACTTCTGAATAGTCCCATACTAGAACGAAACGGCCATCCATTGCTTCCAGGTTTTCCATGATGGTCTAGCTTTATCAATATTTTGATTTATTATAATTAGGTTTCTCGCTACAGTGTCAATTCAATTATTTTGATTACAGAATATGTTATTTTCACTTGATAACCCTGATTCCTGCTTGATTCCTCCGAATGTCAGATTTCTTCTATTACTTTCAGTAAATACGGCTTAATTAATTACTATGTAGAGAATGAGAACACAGATGGAAACAATCGAATGTAAATTAGCACAACATTACGAACTATCTCACTCAAATCTGACAACCATACAGTAACTAGTTAATTTGCAAACTATCAATCGATTTCGTATAGTTGAGATCATGAGTCAATTGAAGCTAGACCACCGTAGAAAACCTTAAAGCACTGGACGGCCGTTTCTTCTTATTGTGGGACTCCTCAGCAGTGCACATCCACAAGAACACGAGTGGGAACAATCAAATGTATGTGTTACGAA